ACATGTACAGTTATTTTGATTACCAAACATTGTGTATATTGTACTACAGACCAGTGACTGCTTATTTTGATGTTTTTAGATAGGAGAGATTGACTGCAGTTGTCTTTTATTTATCAATAATCTGCTTGAATGGAAAGTAATTAACCTTTAACACCAGTATTGAGTCAGGCTATTGGTCTGCATACAGTATCTGTCGACCAACTTAAATATATTTACATCTTGACATAATAAAAATTTGAAAAAGATGGACATCTACACTTAAGAATTCAGCAGGTTGCTTGCTTAAAAAGGATTCTTAGGTTGATTTTTGTATGTTTGTAATAATGGAATGAATGTTTTCTATTAAATGTACCTGATGATGACAAAACTATGCATGAAGGGGTAATTTTGGGGGCTCCCATCACTAGCTTAAGTAATATTGTTAGAAAGTAAACTTTGAGATATTGACCTCAGAAGACTTGGTGTAAGTTAAAATCCAGTTGTATTAGTCTAAAAATGATGTTGATGATTACACTCAGGATAGATGAATCATTATACTGTTTGTCTTAATTATGGAAGATTTTTAAGCCTTTGATTTAAATTTTTGTCAATTAGTCACAGGGAACCCACATGTAATTTTGACACAGACACATGATTTCCATGGTTACTCATTTGTTGCCGTCCTGTAATAATTCTAAGGTTGTTTTTTTTTTTAAGATTCATTGTAAAGATGTTTAATTGATGTGCCTTTGTTTTCCCTAGAGGTATATGTTTCTACAAATTTCATTGTATTCATGCTGTGAGCAATGCTGACTTCCATTCAATCATGATAGAACTATTCAAGGAGTTTCTAATTAACCAAGAACTTTTCTCAAGTTTGAGTTGATTTTTTGTAGTGATAAAACCTTCAGTGTATTTGCTGCCTACTTGCTGCAAGGTTTTTTCAGAGATAATTTTTATATGCCTCAAACACACCTGCTTTTCTGATTCATTATTAACTGCATGAAGCATTGCCTTGAAATCTTTAAAACAATTTAGAGCAAAAGTGATGTAAGATTGAAAGTGTAAATAGCAAGTTTTATACCTTATGCATGGCAGCACTTTTAAACCATGTGAGCAGTCTGTTTATTGACATTTTTAAAGCCACCAATTTTTACAGCCCTTCCAGCCTGCATTGATGACATTATTTGAGCATTTCTGACCAGGCATTATACTGTTGCTAGGTCAGTAATTAGTCCCCTACCGGTTTACCGGAGGGGACTTTAGGTTTACCCTCCGTCCGTCTGTCCGTCCGTCCGTCAGTCCGGCCGTCTGTCCGTCCGTCAGTCCGTCCGTCCACAAAACTGGATCCCGCGATAATGCAAAAAGTACTGAAAATATTTTAATGAAACTTGATATATGGATAGATGGCAGTATGGAGATTATGCACGTCTTTTTTCTTTTCTTCCTATGTTGAAAATTCTGGTTGCTATGGCAACAAATAGACTGAAAATATGGCAAATTTTACACATAATCTGGATCCCGCGATAACGCAAAAAGTACTGAAAATATTTTTATGAAAACTTGATATATGGATAGATGACAGTATGGAGATTATGCACGTCTTTTTCTTTTCTTCCTATGTTGAAAATTCTGGTTGCTATGGCAACAAATAGACTGAAAATATGGCAAATTTTACACATAACCTGGATCCAGTGATAACACAAAAAGTACTGAAAATATGTTTATGAAACTTGACATACTGGTAGATGGCAGTATGGAAATTATGCACATCCTTTTTTTACATCCTATGTTGAAAAATTCTGGTTGCTATGGCAACAAATAGACTGAATTTCAAGATTTCTGATTCTAGTTTTTACGTTTTTTCACTGTAGGTTCTTTATTTCTTAAATCATTTACTTCAAACTTAAATTTTATGTTTCTGGTCATCAACCACATCATTTGTGACAAGGTTAACAACTCTAGCACAAAAATATCAGAATTACCTCCCTTGAACTTAAAATTTTCATTAAAATTTTTTTTAATAACTTCTTTTTCTGAATGTATCTACTTCAAACTTCATATAAATGTTTCTTATTGTCACTCAACATTTGTGAGTGTTTCAATACTCTAGCAAGACTATTAGGGAGAATTATGCCCCTTTTGAACTTAGACTTTTTTTTGAGAAATTGGTAATTTTTACTCCAACTTCTTCAATCATGATAGGATTTTAAAAATGTTATATTTTGATAACAGGGATGTTTAAAAAATAACTTTAGAGTGTCCTTCAGTCCGTCTGTCTGTACATAAAAACTGTTTCCTGTGATCACTTTAAAGAACTTTTTCAACAAATTTACTTAAAATAGGAACCTAAGTGAATGGCCAATGGCCCTTCAGAATGTTGCTTGGGCTCTTACCGGTAGGGGACTTATGGATTGCTTGCAATACTATGATAATTGCTTGTTTTATTTTGATATGGAAATTTCCTTTTATTTTTCTAATGAACTATTCCATATTAAAAGCATGGCAATATCTATGGTCAGCAGCTAGTTAAGGAATAATATCAGTCACCTATATAAGCAAGTATTACATGGAATTGTTAGAGCCAGTCCAGTTCATAGTTGTCCATGCAGTCTAACCCTAGACACTATAAATTAATGCTTAATTGTGAAACTCAGCTTATTTATAATTGCAGTTTACAAAAGTAAGTTTACAATTCAAAGAAGGGCTGGACCATTAATGATACATGTAGTGGACAAACAAAATAACTCAAGTATTTTATTAACTGCACATTTGATAAGGAAGCAGATTGACCAATTTTTAGCTCAACTATACGAAGTATATGGAGAGCTGTCCTACTCGCCCCGGCGTCGGCGTCCGCGTCCAGATTTCAGATTAAAGTTTTGGTGCAGTAAAATATTTTTCACTATAACTTTGTCATTTCTTAAGGTATCAACTTCAAACTTCAAATATATGTTCCTTATCATCAACCACATCTTATGTGACAAGGTTCATAGCTCTTGAAGCAATATTTTCAGATTTATCTCCCCTTGAACTTAGAATTTTCCTCAAAAAATATTATTTTTTACTATTACTTTTTTATTTCTTAAGGGATCAACCTCATACTTCAAATATATGTACCTTATCATCATCCCCATCTTATGTGACAAGCTTCATAACTCTAGCACCAATATTTTTAGATTTATCTCCCCTTGAACTTAGAATTTTCCTTAAAAATATTATTTTTTACTGTAACTTATTTATTTCTAAAGGGATCAACTTCATACTTCAAATATATGTAACTTATCATCATCCACATCTTATGTGACAAGGTTCATAACTCTAGCACTAATATTGCAAGAATTATCTTCCCATAAACTTAGATTTTTTTACTAGAAAAATGTTATTTTTTACTATAACTTTTTTAGTTTTAAAGGTATCTACCTCAATTTTCAAATACTTATTCCTTATCATCAATTACATTTTATGTGATAATGTTCATACCTCTTGAAGCAATATTTACAGATTTATCTCCCTTTGAACTTAGGATTTTCTTTAAGAAATATTATAACTTCTTTACTTTTTAAGGTATCTACTCCAGACTTCAAATATATATTTCTTAATTATCATTACACACATGTTGTGTGACAAGGTTCTGACTCTAGCATGACTATTTCTAGAATTATTCCTCTTGATCTTGGAATTTATGTTAACAAATGATATTTTTTTACTATAACTTAATACATAATTATACATAATTGGTCTTTCTTTCATAGTTTTGTCCTCTTTACTGCATCCAGTATTTTATTAGTCGAGCTTGGCTGTCTCCTGTGACAGCTCTTGTTGGTAATGATACCCATTTTGGTAATGATGTATAATTTGAAAAAAAGAGTATATTAAGTATAATATATAAGTCGTTAATTTCAAGAAGTAACATTATGTAATCTTAACTATAGACAGGTACTCCTGATTAGACTGCAAATTGCTCCAAAGTTGTACTAGTCATGCACTGTGACTAATTTATTTGTTTTATTCTGGTCTTTTAAAGTTTTTTATATTGTAGAAGTCTACAGCTAGTTGGTATATAATAAATGTGAATTTGCGACAATCTGTTTTGATAATTACTAATTATCAACAGACCAACAGTTACTAATCCTAAGTTCCTGTGTTCTTAATTTATCAAATGTAAGTCCGTTGAAAATACTTTTATACCCTCCCCCCAAACCCCCAACACTTAAATTTGTTGTTGGGAGAATCAAGGGGGTTGTTACAGGTCCAAAGCAAAACTGGAATCACTTTGACACTTTCTGTCAATCAATCTGTCTCTACTGCTTCCCCCCTGTAAATCCTATACCATAAGATGGATTAACTTGGCTTAAATTTCCCCTCAGAAAGGCAATGGAGCAAAACCTGTGCTGCCTCAAGATCACATTTGAAATTTCATGGCCACCTCTACTCCATAAATCTATTATACAGGATTAACCCTTGAAAGATTTTCTTCAAACTTGGCAAAAATGTTGCCAACAACAAACATATGTGCAGAATCCATACTGCTGCTGTGTCAGCTCAAGGTCAAGGTCATCGTTGAGGGGTTAAATGACAGGTATTTTATGTCTAATCCATAAATCCTGTACCTTTTTAGTGATTTTCTTCAAACTTGGCTCAAATGTTTATCTCAACAAGGTGTTGTGCATAACCTATATTGCCACAGTTTTGTTAGCTCAAGGTTAAGATCACCCTTGAAGGTCAAATAAACAATTTTGTGTCAGCAAGCATCATAAATTGTATACTCCTCGAAGGACTTTCTTCAAAGTTATCTTAAATGTTAACTTTAAAAAAAATATTTAATTGACCTACATAATCGTAATCTGTGTCATAGTTGAGAGTATTTGTCACTCATGTGACAGCTATAAAAAAATTAATGATATTGAAGTTAAAAACTAATTTACATTTTTTAAATGATTGATTGTATGAATTGATAATGCAAATTATTTTGATGTGTTACATGTGTTGTTTGTTATATTACATGCTTGCGGATACAGAACATCTCAGATGAGTTTGACCTCTTAGACATTTAGAGAAAAAAAAACCATCTTGCAGAGCATTTCAAATTAAATTACTAGACTGTCTAATAAAAAGTGATCAGGTGGATAGAAAATAGATATATACATATATATAGAAAATGTTGAACACAGAAAATCTGGCTCAGAACCAGCTGAAATTTGCCAATGTCATACAAAATATTAATAGAGAGTTACAGGAAAAAGGTACAGTAGTGTTCAGTAGTAGATATATTTTAATTTTGAATGTTTTAAGGTTACCGTATATCTTTTAATTGTTTTCCCCACCAACTGAATGCATTTAGACGATCCTCTATCAGCACACCCGACCAACTTTATAGGGGCGTCCATGGCCGAGAGGTTAAGGTCGCTGACTTCAAACCACTTGCCCCTCGACTCTGTGAGAATAAAAAAAACATACACTTATGCAGTTAGATAATTTCCTTAGTCTTTTGCCTAAAATTTGGATGTTATAACTGGTACAATTAGGAGCAATACGGTAATTAATATTCATTGTTGTTGTAGAATTATCAGTCGGGGGATCAATTATCTGTAATGTAGTTAATTGCATGTTTACCATTTCATACTGGAACCAATTTATTTTTAATTTATTTAATTGCTAATAGTTTGAAATATAAATATCATTAATCTCAAGCAAGAATATTTTAAACAGAATATTTTATGCTTCATTATGCATTTTTGTATACTTTAAACAAATCTATAATCAATCAAAATCATCAGTAATACACGATATAGATTTGTTGATTTGTTTAAAGTTAGATAACATTTCTTATAGGAAATATATAATGGTGAACATATATTCTGTGATAATCTGTAATTAATCATTCAAAATTGATTTTATACACTGTTGAAAGCAAATGATAAGATAATATATTACACTAAGGTTGATTGATTGAAACAATTAACTGAGTATTCAGAATATATTCCCATATGTCTTTCCTTCATTTTCTGAGAGAAATTTTGTTTAAGTCCGTATGAAATGGACCATTTTCTGATATTTTTTTCTAAAAATATATGATGCATAACAAGAATAATTTAAATGATTTTTTTAATGTTCTTTATGGAATTTTGACTGTCTCATTGATATCTGAACAAATTTGAATATTCAGACAGAAAGAAGTTGTGAGATGAAAATTATAAGCTGTTATTTTCACTTAAGTGACCATCTTGTAATAAATGAAATTTCCTTGTTTGTTATAGATTTTGGGTTTTTCAATTAAGATATTCTGTGTTTATTATTTTCTTGTTTGAATGTTGTATATTTATTAATGAAAACTGTTTTGGTTGGGTTTTGATGTCCCACCAACACTGAACATTTCATAAACTGGCTCTCACGGACCAGTATAGCTTCCTAAAATGAAAGAATCCAAAGTCCCTGGCAGGATTTGAACCTACAGCGTTTAGAGGCAAGCGGTATAAAGACAACAACCTTAACCACTTGGCCACTGAAGCCCTGTCATTGAGCACCATTAAATATTTAGGCCTTAATGAATAAGTTTTTTTCCCAATTAATTTTTTATGAAAGAAAGCCATTTTTTATTAGAAACTGGATACTTTATAAGGAAGCATTTCAAGAAAGATAGAAAGTTAGCTTTGAAGGCAAGTTCAGATAAACTAATAGATCAATTCAATGGCATAAGTGTTTGTCTTTATGTGGACAATATTCAAATTACTAATAAGATCTTGACCTTTTTAATCTGACCTTGACCTCAAAGGCCAAATTGTCAAGGGTTAATTGTGTTGCTGCATGGCGTTTTGTGAGCATAATTATGTGAGTATATGTTGCTTAAAGTAACAATAATGTCAAGTAACAATGTAATACTGTGTAGAAAATATATAACGAGCATGGCTTAGTAAATGTTGTACCTCTTTGTAAATTATTGCATTATCTTTGCACAAAACATAAAGTTTACTTTGTCTGTAACGTATCTTATTTCCTCCAAAACATTCTAGAAAATAGGAAATATATGACCGTCCTCCTCAGAAACATCTGGGAAAATTGTAGACTTGAATTTTGTTGTGATGAAATATTAATAGCATAATATGTGTATTATATAGATTTTGTAATTGATTTGTAACATTAAATTGGAGTGGGTCTGATAATATGTTGTTGTTTTGCTTATCTGATATATACAGAGGGAGTTTTTAAGAGTTTTATAACCAGGTGTGTGATCAGTATTATACTGTTAGACAGGAGAGCTCTGTTAGACAGGAGAGCTGTTTGAAATTGTCTCAGTGTCAGGAGGAAAACAGAACAGCCAAATACTTAAACTCAATGAAAATATGCCAGAATGTGTGCTGGAAATAAAAGAGCAGATTTTAATGATTAATATTATGCTGTTATGGTGATTATTTCTTGATTTTAATATGATAGCAAATGAAATTTCAGTCATATCAGAAAATTGTATTTTTAGCTCATCTGAGCACATATTATTTCACTTGAACAGTTTTCAATTGACCATTAAAAACAACATTCTTCTATGACCCCCCAAAAAAGTTTGTTAAATATTAAGGCATAATTGCATGTACATGACCTTACCCTGTAGAAGCATAAAAGTTACACAGTTGCAGTATTTTGATGTAAAATTTATATTGGACTATACAAACTGCTAAACAAATCATATTAGAAACAGCAGTATTTTCTATAGAATTGGTATGAAAGTAGAACATCTTTTGAAGAGTCATTTTCTCCATTTAGTAACAATTGTCTATGGTACCTAGGTAGTGAAATGTTGCAAGTGTATTAGATTTTATTTCTTTTTTTTTACTGTACATTTTTAACTTTTTTATATAGTCAAATGTGCATGTCTACACGTTGTAGCTTTGAAGTAATTTTTTCAATTTTTGCATAAATAGTGGAAACAATAAGCTTTAATATACTTTTCCATCTCGGCTATCATCTTATGATATAATCATTATGTATAGGGAGTTCATGCATCTGTATTCAAGGCTTTCTCCAACAGTACAGCTGGAAAGTCTGTGCTCATTAACCCATTGCTTCATGAGCATTTTGTGAAAAATGGCTGTTTTCATTGAAAAGTCTCCCGTTACAAGTTCAAATTGCTATAATACTATAAAAACTGCTTCAACACTAATCAAACTTGGCACAAATGTTGACTGGACCATTGTCCTTGCAACAACATGCTCAGGCTTAAATTTTCTGTTACCATGGCAACGAGGGGACATCTCAAAATTGCCAAAAATCACTATTTTGCGTTGATTTTTTCCATCAAAATTGATTTCAAAGTGCTGCAACTTCTCAATGGATTGAGATAGAGTCAAATGCTTTTCAGCGTTGGTTACACGTTACCTTATGATCAATCTGGGGTCATTTACAGCCTCTCACAAGTCCAAAATTTTCTTGGCGATGAGGGGGACTCCGCCCCCCTTCAAACCCCCCCAAACAGAAGGGGGCACATCCCCCTTCTGGCAACCCCCTGATGTATCTTTTGGTTGGGGGGCCGCGCCGAAAAAAGGGTCACTTTTTTTAACAACATTTCTCAAACAAAAACAAGTGTTTGGGGCCTAAATAAGGCATTTTTTCATCATTTGAGACAACAAAAAGGGGGGGGGGGGGTGAAAAAGGCGTTAAAAGGCGTGTATATGAAGTAATGGGTTAACATCTCCAAGCCTGCAGAGCTCAGAGTCCAGAATTTACTTTGTCCCAGGGTTGTTGGAGATGTTAATGAGCACAATATATTATTGTGTTTCATAATTGGTTTTTCATTCAAACAAATCCGATTTGTCGTATTTTTGATGTACTAGTGCAGTGGCATTTTAAACTACTAGGGCCATTATTGCAGTATGCTATAATAACATGGTGCCCTGAGACAGGCATATAAAAAACATACCGCAAATGTTTTTTTGATTATATCAGTTAATGCATGTTTTTTACTCCGTGCAGTTTTTATGCAAAAATTACTAGTACTATAAGATAATTATATATTTGTTTTTTTACAGGATTTGTGAGAGATGGGGGCGTGGACTCGGGCCTGGAAGACATGAGTCCTACACAGCAAAAACTGATAGGAAACAGGCAGCTTATAACAGATATGAGTAAGTTTACAGATATGAATAAGTTAACAGAGGTAATGGATATGAGTAAGTTAACATACATGTTCCTTGACATATAGGTTTTAAGTCTCAGTCAAACATTAATCTCAGTTTTCTGTCCTATATCAGACAAAGTGATAAGAAGATTAGCTTGCCTTTCTGTTGTACAAGAATTATTGGTCCTTGATTTGTAATAAGATATTATTCCTGCAAATTAAAATTTATGTGTGAAATATTACATTAACATGAGCTATGGCTTTTATGTCGGTCTACAGTTCATCCTAAGTATTGTATGATAGAGAGCCCTATATGGGTCACATCTACATTACCTATTATAACTCTGATACTTGCTTGTTTAGGAAACAGCCATGAAATGGACATCAATAAGTTTATAGCCTTCATTGATATCATCCTAACAAGCTAAATACATTTATTTCAACTAAATGCTTGTCCTTATTTAGTTTAAAAAGGAGATATTCAACTTTATATTTTAACTGTTAACACAATTTGCTACAAAAACTTCCTTTTCATATAATCATATTATACTTACCATAATGAGTAACATCCGGATATGTAATGCAGCAAAAAAATTGAATTGCTAGACAAAAATGCCATTAAATACAACCCATTAAATGTGCCAGATTTGATCATTACAGATAGTATAGATGTGAAACACAGGCACTGTCTGGGTATACTTAATAAGCTTTATTTGTTTTTGTATTTTTTCAGGAGCTCAGAACTTTGATGTGATCAGGTTTGCCACATATCGAACAGCATGCAAACTGAGATATATACAGAAGAAAACAAATTGTAAGATAAAAAGTTCCTTGGGTACATCCATAGTACTTGTTGTTTCATCATCAATCTCTTTGCTATTAAGTTTTGTGACATCTTAATGTTTGACTGTTGTCATTGCATTGAGATGATGTTGATGTTAACATTGTAAAGGTCATATACATGTAGTGACTTTCTAGCTGTACTGTTGGAGAAAGCCTTAAAGATATAAGCAGATATCTGTTCTCAACTGCCCCTCTTGATGCCTGAATATAGATATGGTAAATATACTGAACCAAAAAAGAAACTTTCACTTAGATGTACACACTTATATACATGTAGTAGCTTGTAAAACTCGTTTTGTTTGCAAAATCGGTCAGCTAATCCCCATATAAAAGCCCGATATGTTTATTCAACGTAAAATTCGAGTTTCAAAAGGATTGAAAAACTGTACTAACATATCTACATTCAAACTTGGAGAAAGTTTCTTTTTTGTTTCAGTATATTTGCAAAAGTTTGGGAGTGGGAGGGGTGTCCACTCTGGTATCACTTCTTATTTCCTGACATCCTAGACTTGAGCTGAGTCAGAGAAAGTCTGTTTTAATGTCAGTACCTTAACTAGATGTAGCTCCATTGAAGTAGAATATTGAGTTACCAATCCAGTTAAAGTAGTTGTTTTAAATTACACTTCAGAGGGATTGCTTTTTCATTTCTGAAAAGATTTCTAGACAAAGGAAAGGTCAGAACACCAGAATTAGAATGATTATTCAAAATAGAAAATTGGCATGCAAGAAGACTGTAATCACAGTGATAATCGCTGAAAAGATGCAATGTCTAAATTACATGACAATTAGTCAGTTGATAAGATTTCTTTAGAAGTTGAGCAGTTTCCACTTAAGCATTTTATTATATCATATGAAATGTTTTGAGATCAAAGAAAGTGAAGCATGAATTTATAGTGTTCTATGAATTTTATAGCTAAGCCAACAAAGAGTTAAATATTCTCATATCACTTTTAGTCAAATAATTTACATCAGCTGTAAGTTCATGTGTGAAATGTGCTTAAAATAACATACCTTTTTCATTTTTTTATGCCATTACAAAGCTTTGATAGTTTTGTTTTGTAGTTTCAAAAATACATTGTATTATTATATGATGAAAGGCAACTTTTCCTATAAAAGCACATGTAATTGTGTGTGGTTACTTTTTTGTGAAGTTAATTCTCTTAATCTAAAATACCATTAGCCATAATCATGTGCACAAGCATTTTTTTAAATAGCTTCCAAAGCGCTCATTGTTAGTTTTTTGGTCTCTGTCTGACGAAACCTGATTGTATTTCATGGCCACAATTGCTTTCAAGTAATGTTTCCTACATTTAACAAATGTAGTTATGAAATTTAAACAAAGGGGCATCTGAAGCCCTTGTTTGAGTTCAGGTTTTGTTACCCAAACAATGAATGCAGTACAATTTCAGGGCATAGTCACGACTCTTTGAGTTCAGGTTTTGTTACCCAGATGAAGGAAGTATCTTAAGAGCATAGAGAAACTCTTGTTTGAGTCCCAAATGAAGGCAGTGTTTTGAGGGCATACAAAAACTCTTTCAGTTAAGGTTTTGTTACTCTAAGATTAAAGAAGTATATTGTGGGCTATCATGAAATCTTGTATACAGGTTTTGCTACCAAGGTATACAAAGTATATAGACTATATATCAACTTTTATTTGAGTTCAGGTTTTGTTTCCCACTGAAAATGGTAGATACAACATTTATGTGTCTTGGAAACTTTATGTACTACACAGAAGTTTTTCACTAGATATACCTTATTGTGTTGTCATAAGTTCCAAATTAACCAGTATGTTTTCTGTATTACAGTGGAGATGGTAGATATTTGGAACATAATAGAATGTTTCCGGGAGAATGGACTGAACACGCTGGAATCTGACACGGAGCTGAATGCCTCGAGGGTGGAGGCTATATTAACAAGCCTGTATACATCACTAAATAAACGTGTACCAACAACCAGACAAGTGGACGTGAAACTCTGTGTTAACATGCTCTTGAATTGGCTGATTAGTGCATATGATGGGTAATGATTTAATAACATTTATATTGAAAATCTGAGTTATATGAAAACATGACTGCTATGTTTAAGATAATTAAGTTGATAGCATACAGCTATGTAATACATGTAACATGTAACAAAAATATAAGGAAAATAAGATAACAGGTATGAATATAACCAAAAAAAACCCACTAAAATTGATTTGATTTTATTATATGATAAATTATCTGAACAATAACTTGCTCATTTAACCCATTACTTCATATACACGCCTTTTAACGCCTTTTTCACCCCCCCCCCCCTTTCTGTTGTCTCAAATGATGAAAAAATGCCTTATTTAGGCCGCAAACACTTGTTTTTGTTTGAGAAATGTTGTTAAAAAAAGTGACCTCTTTTTCGGCGCGGCCCCCCAACCAAAAGATACACCAGGGGGTTGCCAGAAGGGGGATGTGCCCCCTTCTGTTTGGGGGGTTTGAAGGGGGGCGGAGTCCCCCTCATCGCCAAGAAAATTTTGGACTTGTGAGAGGCTGTAAATGACCCCAGATTGATCATAAGGTAACATGTAACCAACGCTGAAAAGCATTTGACTCTATCTCAATCCATTGAGAAGTTGCAGCACTTTGAAATCAATTTTGATGGAAAAAATCAACGCAAAATAGTGATTTTTGGCAATTTTGAGATGTCCCCTCGTTGCCATGGTAACATAAAATTTAAGCCTGAGCATGTTGTTGCAAGGGCAATGGTCCAGTCAACATTTGTGCCAAGTTTGATTAGTGTTGAAGCAGTTTTTATAGTATTATAGCAATTTGAACTTGTAACGGGAGACTTTTCAATGAAAACAGCCATTTTTCACAAAATGCTCATGAAGTAATGGGTTAATGAAAAAAATAAAAAAATCTACAAAACAACAATTTTTCATCAAATTTATACAACAGGCAATGCTTAAACATGAAAAAACGCGATTTAGGGTAATTTCAAGTATTTTCATCATTTTCTGTTAACCCATTACTTCATATACACGCCTTTTAACGCCTTTTTCACCCCCCCCCCTTTCTGTTGTCTCAAATGATGAAAAAATGCCTTATTTAGGCCGCAAACACTTGTTTTTGTTTGAGAAATGTTGTTAAAAAAAGTGACCTCTTTTTCGGCGCGGCCCCCCAACCAAAAGATACACCAGGGCGTTGCCAGAAGGGGGATGTGCCCCCTTCTGTTTGGGGGGTTTGAAGGGGGGCTGAGTCCCCCTCATCGCCAAGAAAATTTTGGACTTGTGAGAGGCTGTAAATGACCCCAGATTGATCATAAGGTAACATGTAACCAACGCTGAAAAGCATTTGACTCTATCTCAATCCATTGAGAAGTTGCAGCACTTTGAAATCAATTTTGATGGAAAAAATCAACGCAAAATAGTGATTTTTGGCAATTTTGAGATGTCCCCTCGTTGCCATGGTAACATAAAATTTAAGCCTGAGCATGTTGTTGCAAGGGCAATGGTCCAGTCAACATTTGTGCCAAGTTTGATAAGTGTTGAAGCAGTTTTTATAGTATTATAGCAATTTGAACTTGTAACGGGAGACTTTTCAATGAAAACAGCCATTTTTCACAAAATGCTCATGAAGTAATGGGTTAAAATATATATCCATTCCATTCATTGATTTTCCTTATATGTGTATAGCAAAAACTTAAAAAATCTTCTTTGAAAAAAACCAAATAGCTAGAGTTTAGATATTAAGCATGAGACATCTTCTAGTGAGTGTCTACAAAGTTTGTTCAAATAAAAGCCCTGGGGTCAAAATTGGCCCGCCCCGGGGGTCATTGATTTTCCTTATATGTGTATAGCAAAAACTTAAAAATCTTCTTTGAAAAAAACCAAATAGCTACTGTTTAACTATTAAGCATGAAACATCTTCTACTAAGTGTCTACAAAGTTTGTTCAAATAAAAGCCCTGGGGTCAAAACTGGCCCCGTCCCAGGGGTGTCATTGTTTTTAACTATATGTGTATAGTAAAAACTTAAAAAATCTTCTTTTAAAAAACCCAATGAGCTAGAGCTTAGATGTTAAGCATGAAACATCTTCTTATAGGTGTGTACCAAGTTTGTTCAAATAAAAGCCCTTGGGTTAAAATTAGCCCTGCTAGGGGGGGGGGGGGAGGTCATTGTTTTTCATTATATGTGTATAGTAAAAACTTAACATCATGAAACATCTTCTAATGGGTGTCTTCCAAGTTTGTTCAAATAAAAGCCCTGGGGTTTAAACTGGCCTCGCTCCGGGGGGCCTATATACAGGTGAGCGATCTCAGGGCCATCATGGCCCTCTTGTTGTGATATGTTAAAAATTATAAGAATTTAAGATAACACATTCTACTAGTTGCAACTGTAATATTATGCCTTCATAACAACATCATATTTAAATGATATGTCAAATTCTTTTTAAATAATGTTCATTATAGTGCTTAAAGAGTTTAATATTGGTTTAACTAGGAAAGAATGTGAGATATGCTAGGATTAATATTTCTTTTATAAAAAATAGTATGTAAAAAGTTATTCAGTTGTGTAAACAATGTTATATGTTCATCAGGAGGCATGTCCATAAGATAAACTATAAAGGGAGGGATGACCTAATGGTTAAGGTGACTGCCTCTCAACTAAAGGATGATTGTGGGTTTGAACCCTTTGTGGTACTCAACTTAGATTTTTGGTTTGAACCCACACATCCAAAAATTGTTAGATTACTAGTTTTACGCATAAACCAATCAAACAAGCCACCACTGATTTAAATGGTTAGGTCATCCATGCCTGTACAGTAGCATTATAGTTAGTCCTTGCTGAGAGTATTTCAATTATTTTCATTGATGTATTAATTTATTTACAGATGGTTTTTTCGGTCACAGTTATCCCACAAAGCTAATAAATTTCACTGTGTGATATAAGAATATAGTGTGGTGTTGTGATTTATAAATTTCACAGAATGATTTTATATATCAGTGTGAAAATAAGTCATCAATAGTACAATATTGAGAAAAATAAATCAATTTACAAAATATTGGCTACAAATTCTGAATTACTATAGTTGTAAAGTCATTTTTATCCTATTTCAGGTGTCACATACTTTTATTTGTATTTTATATTTTTCTCAGTTATTTGTACTTCATGGTGTAATGACTCCATTTGCTAGTTTATGAGGTCAGATTTATAAACATCATATTAGATTGGGGTATGGCGGGCGGATGGGCGGATGGGCGGCTGGGCGGATGGGCGGATGGGCGGGCGGGCGTCAAACGAAATTGTGTCCGCTCTGTAACTCTTCAACCCTTTGAAGAATTTTGATGAAACTTCAGACAAATGTTTACCACATCAAGATGACGTGCAGAACGCATGTTCCGCATGGCTGGCTCCAAGGTCAAGGTCACAGTGACATTAACATTGAAAATCCTGTTTACATGATTTTAACTTGATTTGGCAGTCAAAGGTCATATCATCTTTGGAGGTAATTTAAAAAAGATATGATATATTATTTCATGTCTACTTTGTAACTTGAAAATTTTAAAAAATTTGAACTTTTTGAAGAATTTTAGAGCAAGCGTATATTTCTATATGATGTTGACCTTGAATTGACTTCATCCTGAAGATCTCATTGAATCCATCTCAGAATTTAGCGCAATTTTTAATGAAAGTCGTTTTCACATGTTACTATACATGTGAATGCTATGTTTGAATAATGTTATTTTAACCAGGTTTTCCGAAGGAAAAAACTGGTTATTAGATTGAGGTATGTCGGCGGGCGGGCGGGCGGACGGGCGTAAACAATTTCTTCTGTGCGCAACTCCTCCTACATTTCTCAACGGATTTTGACCAAACTTTCACAGAACCTTTGTCATTAAGTGCCCTGGCGCATATTGTCGGGGTTTTGTGATTGGATAATATTTGACCTAATTATAGCCCTTTGTTTTTTTTCTTATATAGAATATATAGTGAACAATTTCTTCTGTGCGCAATTCCTCCTATATTTTTGAACGGATTTTGACCAAACTTTCACAGAAGCTTTGTCATGAAGTGCCCTGGCACATATTGTCGGGGTTTTGTGATTGGATAATTTTTTACCTAATTATGGCCCTTTGTTTTTTTTCCTTATAAAGAATATATAGTGAACAATTTCTTCTGTGAGCAACTCCTCCTACATTTCTCAACGGATTTTGACCAAACTTTCACAGAAGCTTTGTCATCAAGTGCCCTGGCACATATTGTCGGGGTTTTGTAATTGGATCATTTTTTACCTAATTATGGCCCTTTGTTTTTTCCTTATACAGAATATATAGTGAACAATTCCTTCTGTGCGCAGCTCCTCCTTCATTTCTCTACGGATTTTGACTAAACTTTCACAGAAGCTTTGTCATTAAGTGCCCTGGGGCATATTGTCGTTTTTTTTTAATTTGATAAAAATAGGCATAATTATGGACCTTTGTTTATTTTCCTTATATAGAATATATAGTGAACAATTTCTTCTGTGCGCAACTCCTCCTACATTTTTCTACGAATTTTGACCAAACTTTCACAGAAGCTTTGTCATCAAGTGCCCTGGCGCATATTGTCGGGGTTATGTGATTGTATAATATTTGACCTCATTATGGCCCTTTGTTTTTTTCCTTATACAGAATATATGGTGAACAATTTCTTCTGTGCGCAATTCCTCCTACATTATTCGTGATTTACATTGCACATAGTTACATTGTTTGTTGCTTGTAATTGTATTTCAACTACAACATATTTATCTACAATGGTGATAATTGAAAACCTGGTTTCATGGCATTGCCATGTTTCTTGTTAATAGTAGTTTAATAAATATCAAGGCAGATTTTTATTTTGATACAAAGTATACGTCTTTTTAATGTATACTTGTAGAGCCATAAAGAAAACACTAAGTGTCAAAGTTTCACTGTTGAACATATATTTAATTTTGGTTTCAATATAAAAAAAATCAATGGCATTAATTTATTCTAATTTTAGTTTCACTTCAAAGAAGATTTATTATATATTTCATTACATCCAGTGTGTACATTTTGGTTAAAATCAATTTCTTCCCGTTTATAATGTTTTTTTATTTCATTATTTTGACACCAATATCATTTATAAGATTTCAGATATAAAGATTGGCTTTAAATTTGAGTGTTTGGTCATCATATTTTGGTATGGGCGAGTAGTTTAAAGGAAAATTTTATGAGAACTTTGTCTGGCAGATGTATTATAGACTGTGTTAGTGTCTGGTATATTTGCTGCAAGCCTTCTTGATATGTTCTAAGTTAATTATAAATGTCTAATTTGATGTTACTTCAGAGGTAATTAAGGCCATAGTCAGTCTCTTCTGCTAAAAATAGAAAATTTAAATTGATTTATCCTTGATTTCTTAAATGTGGAATCATGTTTTTGAAGAGGAGGCAAAAGGCTGTCAGTTCCAAGGTCAGCTTGTGAAATAACATGGCTTTGACATCAGTGGCTCATATATTTGTATTCATATCGTTGTTTTTAAAAAATCATACCTTATATCCCTTACAATAATTGTTGACATACATTTATATTTCACTATGTTTTGTTATATATTTCATTACACAATATTTTGTTATATTTTTCATTACACTATATTTTAAAATATTTTATTACACAATATATTATTATATATTTCATTACAAAATTTTTTATTATATATTTCATTACACTATGTTTTAAAATATTCTATTACACAATATATTATTATATATTTCATTACAAAATATTTCATTATATATTTCATTACACAATATTTTGCTATATATTACATTACACAATATTTTGTTATATTGTAACACCATGTTTTCCTTATAGATATTTCATAACAATTTGTTATATATTACATAACTTTTCAATATTTTTGTTATATATTTCAGGTCAGGATATGGAAGGATCAAGGTGTTTTCTCTGAAGGTAGCATTGTCACATCTGTGTTCAGGAAAACTCATTGATAAATTAAGATGTAAGTTGAGATTTCACTTAACTTACAAGTTTCTATTACCGAGGAATATTCCAATATTTCAGATATTTTCCAAATGAAGTTTTTTCTTGTATTACTTGTTATGAAAAATGAACTTTTACAAGTGAAATAAATATTTCTAAGCAATGAAAATATGAATATTTCTTGTGACACATTAAATGATAGACACTTAATATTCATATGTATTAGATACTTATTAGAATACGTCAAAAAATTTCCAAAATTTGTAAGTAGTTTTGTGTTAAATATTCAAAAAGTTTTTAATGAAAGCCAAACAAAATACTCTGCATTTGAATTAATGACATGGTGTTTCTGTTACTTATTAATTAATGGCTTATTGATCAACTTGGTGAACTGATAAACTTGGATTATCTGGTTTTTGTCAATTAACTTTGATAAATGATCCAGTTAAACCGTCTGCCATTATTATCATTACATTAATGGAAATATGAATTTATCAACAATATATATCTCATTAATATGAAAATGATATGCAAGGTTTATGAATTATTCTTAGTGTCTGCTAGGATAATTTCTCTACAGTTTCAGATAACAAATTATAAACCTGGCCTGAAATAATTCATTTCACTTACAAATGTACCATTAATGGAAACCATTTATATATCACATGCCTCAATTAATATACAACTGGGTCCATTGAAAAAAATATATTGAAACTGAAAGTTTCAAGTTTCAACACCAATAGTAACAAATCATTCTCCCAAGCATGTATTTAAGCTCTACTTTTTGAAGAAAAATTGGATCTATAATGTCATGACCCTCTTGTCAGCATTGGCGTTAGCATTGGTTAATCTATTAGTTAAGGTCCATTTCCTGAGAAACTGTTAAAGCTATTCACTTCAAACTGAATATATTTATTATAATAAAAGTATGCCCTTTCAAAAACACATGCTCAAATAATTCGGGAAAGTGGTGTGCTCTGTCCATGGACAGGTCTTGTGTAATTGCTTGTATAGATAAATGTTGAAAATGGCGATGTAATGATAGCATACAACTATATATATCTAGATTTATATACATGTATATTAGTTGTTAATGTCTGGCAAGTTTTGTCAAGTAGAGCAATCAGTTTTATGAAACTGGGATGTTATGAACATGAGTACAATCCACTTACATATTGGTTACTCCATTTTATATTTTCAACTACCAAGTTAAAGTGTGTTATATACAAAGGTTGAAAATACTAAAAAAACTGTTTAGTTCAAGTAAAGAATGTGGGTTCACTCTTTCAGTTACTGCCTGTTAGACAGAACTAGCATGACTAAGTGCTGTTGAAATTTAACATTGAAATATTTGTTTATTTGATGAGTTGATTTATGTATTTCAGATATATTTACCCAGATATCAGACTCGAGTGGACTGTTAGTAAGACAAAAGTTTGAGCAGTACTTGCAGGCTGTGCTGGCATTACCTACGGCAGTGTTTGAGGGACCGTCCTTTGGTTACAACGAAACTGCAGTTAGAGCATGCTTTGATATGGTAAATAACCTCTTCTTCTTCCTGTAAACAAGTACCCTGTAACAGATTTAAGGAATCTTTTGACACTCGCTTTGAGTCACTAAACCATCAGTACTGTCAGTTGGCTATTAGAATTTAAGCGCTTCATTTTATCATCACTGCTGAACGTATATAGAATGATTTATTTATTCTGAAAAGTTAGGCCAATTGAAAAGAAAAAAATATTTTTAAAGGGAAAAAATAAGACAATGCTTGAATATAAATAGTTTTCATACTAGTAATACTGGCCACATGGGTTCAAACCTCATCAGGGGCAAGTCATTTCCTTGAGCAAGAAACATTACACTCACTGCACTCTACTGGTTGATTCCAGGAATGAAGTGTATCTATAAGCTAATAACTACTAAATTTCTTTATAACCAAATTTGTCCTTTTCAACATTTAAGTGATTTCTCGTGTAGTGACTAATGTCAGTTAACTCTTAGACTGGAATTGCTTATCTCTTTTGTATTTGAAATTACCAAACAGAGACCAAAACTTTTATCTGCTGAATATGGTAGATAAGCATAGCTTTTTGTGATTGAGATAATGCATTCAGTGGTTTCAAAAATCTGCTTCAGATATTCAAGCTAGATATTTGACCTTTATATTGCCCTTTATAATGTCAATGTACCTTATTGCCGATATTTAAATTACTTAATAATTTTGAAATCCCCAAGTCTAATGTCATTTATCTTTGCAATATAACAGAATGTCTAGAGATTAAATAATTATGTTGTTTTGAAACATTATAGCACCTTAAGCATTCTTTCTTTGCAATTCTTTTTGGATTGCTTGTTTGTTTTCAAACCAATGTCAAGTCTTATTTTAGAGACCTAGATCTGCACTTTAAGTCATTTCAATATACTGCTTCCTGGGTGTCATAATCAGTAATCTCACTAGTGTGGATTGTGAAAATCAGAAAAGAATCTAACCAAAAGTGGGATTCGAATCCATGACCTTTAATAAAGGAGTCTGATGCTTTACTCCTACACCAGTCTTTTTCATTTATCCTAAATAAAATATTTTAAACATCAATAGAATAGTTTCAATAGTTAGAATATGTTCCTATCTTATTATGTTTTGTATTTCAGAGAAGTGGCGTGAATATAAACAACTTTCTTAATGTACTTGTGTCTGACCCTGGTCCCCAGTGTCTTATGTGGATGCCAATTTTACATAGGATGATTCAAGTAGAAAACGGTAAATTATAGTTTAACTATTTTCAGAGCTAGTAATGGCAGCTGTAAGCATGTGTCATCTATATATAGCCAGGCTAGAGTACATATCTGTACAGTCTGATGTGAATAAATCATTAAACTTGAACTTGCTGGCAAAAAAGTGATTAGGAAAACTAATTAGATCTAAAAGTGCTGAGCACAGGTGATTATATTGTTTCATCCGAATAGCCTTTAATTTGATCATTTTGAGGATATAACCTGTAGTGTATATATATATATTATTTTGATTCTAACAACAAAAATATGACAATAAAAGTAGAGAGTAATATAATTATTTTATCACCTGAAGCAAATCATATGTTACTGTAAAGAAATATTTTAAAATCTTAAATCTTGTGTTGTTTTCTTGGCTAATGCTTAAGTATTCTACAAGATTTACTTGAGAAATGTTGCAGACTGTATTGGAATAAAATTTAGTGAGATAAATCTACACTAAAGTAAATCTACAGCTGGTCAATAATTTGCAATGAAAATCACTAACCACGTTACAATTTATTGAAGAGCAAGATGTCTAATGTTCATTGAAAATATAATATTTAAATGTACAATTTATCTGCCTCAACTTCAAGGAATGTTATTAAAATATCAAAGGATTGACACATGCAGATTGACTTCTGCAAGTTTGGATTTATATGATTTTATATATTCATTTAGATTATTTTCTTGCAAAATTGAAGTAATGGACAGAGTTCAAGAGTACTGCAATGAATAGATTATGTCTCTTGTTAGCTCGACTTTTTTTTTTTTGAAAAAAAAAGTAGAGGTATTGTTATAGTCAGGTCGGCGTTGCCGTCTCCGTTGCCGTTGCCGTTGCCGTCCGAAAACTTGTACCTGGATCATAACTTTTTTATTTCTTGGTGTATTGTCTTCATACTTGGCCACAACAACCCTTGGGACAAGACCTTTCAGTAGACCACACTAACCTTGACCTTCATCCATAAATGACCTTGACCTTCAAGGTTAAAAGTCCAATTTTTGCTTGTTCATGCTGTTATTGGCTGTTACTTTGTTATTTTTGAATGGATTGTCTTCAAACTTGAACATAGTAATCTTCAAGGATATCCCTTAAAAATAACCAGTCAGACCTTGACATTCACTCATCAATGACCTTGACTTTGAAGGTCAAATTATTGAAATTTTCATTTTTTTGGCTATTATTGGCTGTAACTTTGTTATTTTTGAATGGATTGTCTTCAAACTTGAACATAATAATCTTCAAAGATAACTGTTAAAAATATACCGAATGACCTTGACCTTCACTCATGAATGACATTGCCTTTGAAGGTCAAATTATTGAAATTTTCATTGTTTTGGCAGTAACTGACTGTAACTTTGCTATTTTTGAAGGGATAAACTTCATATTATAACAGAACATTCTTAAGGACCAGACCTTGTTGTTTATCAAACCCAAATTTGCTTGGGCTCTTTAATGACCTTGACCTTGAAGGTTATATTACTGAATTTTCTCAGATTGTGCATTTATTGGTGTGTGTGTATGTATAGTATATGTATTATATATATATATATATATATATATATATATATATATATATATATATATAAATGTGTGTGTGTATATATATACATATATGCAGGTATATATATATATATAAATATATATATATATATATATATGCATGTATATATATATCTATACATATATAGATATATATATATATATCAAATATATATCAAATATATATATATATATATATAGATATATATACATGTATATAATTGCATCATGTTTTTCTATTTTTAGAAATTGCGTCATTTTTTCTATTTTTAGAATTTGCGTCATTGTTGCTATTTTTAGAATTTGCGTCATTTTTTTCTATTTTTAGAAATTGCGTCATTGTTGCTATTTTTAGAAATTGCGTCATTTTTTGTTCTATTTTTAGAAATTGCGTCATTTTTTTCTATTTTTAGAAATTGCTTCATTTTTTTTCTATTTTTAGAAATTGCGTCATGTTTTTCTATTTTTAGAAATTGCTTCATTTTTTTTCTATTTTTAGAAATTGCGTCATGTTTTTCTATTTTTAGAAATTGCGTCATTTTTTCTATTTTTAGAAATTGCGTCATTGTTGCTATTTTTAGAATTTGCGTCATTTTTTTCTATTTTTAGAAATTGCGTCATTGTTGCTATTTTTAGAAATTGCGTCATTTTTTTCTATTTTTAGAAATTGCGTCATTTTTGTTCTATTTTTAGAAATTGCGTCATTGTTTCTATTTTTAGAAATTGCGTCATTTTTTCTATTTTTAGAAATTGCGTCATGTTTTTCTATTTGTGTCATTGTTGCTATTTTTAGAAATTGCGTCATTTTTTTCTATTTTTAGAAATTGCGTCATTTTTTCTATTTTTAGAAATTGCGTCATTTTTTTTTCTATTTTTAGAATTTGCGTCATTGTTTCTATTTTTAGAAATTGCGTCATTTTTTCTATTTTTAGAAATTGCGTCATTTTTTCTATTTTTAGAAATTGCGTCATTGTTGCTATTTTTAGAAATTGCGTCATTGTTGCTATTTTTAGAAATTGCGTCATTGTTGCTATTTTTAGAAATTGCGTACTGTTGCTATTTTTAGAAATATGCTTAATGTTTCTATTCATATATATACAAAATATATAAACAAAACTAATGTGACAAGACAGACCAACTAAATTTATAAAAAGGAAACATCAACATATGTTCAAACCTTTCTATGTTTGCATTTAGAAAAAGTAAAAAGTCGAGCGTTGCCCCCGCCCGGCGGTGGCTCTTGTTTTTGCTAATGGCACAGATGTTTATTTCACTGAGAAGTAAAATCTCAGTAAAGCAAGCTGTTTGTTGACAACATTTATTGACATGTTGAATGGCAAAGTTAAACACAAGGGAAGCAACTACCTATCATTAACGTGCCTTTTATTCTAATAAGAACTGTATTATAGATACAAAAATGGAATCTTTTAGGTCTGCTGTAATTACCGCAGAGAAGATTAATAATAAAAATTCAACAACATTTCTTGGCTGTACTGTGCACAACAAATTCTATTTTGTTTTACTAAGAATATGATTTTATGTATGGCCTGGATTCGTCAACTAATTATATGAATGAAAATTTCTCTGTAAGGCAGAGAAATACTTTTATAGGGAAATTTGTAGATATTTGTGAAGTCAGCATTTTATTAAGACAATACAGGTACAAAATGTGGGGATGCTGATGTTATAAGATTACTACTGAATAGATTGAATCAAAATACAGCTTTGATCTTCACATGATAAATCCCCTGTGTGTTAACATTGCCTTACCAATTGATCTAGCTTGCATGTTTTCATACCAGGCATTATTTAAATAATCATGGGTTTACCTGAATTTTTAATTCCCTTACAAGGCATGAATGATCTAGTGTTGTTGTTTTGTTTTTTCAAAAAAAAAGTGGATAAGAAGGTTTTGAATCTTTCTACAACTGGTCTCATAGGCTTTACCTGAATAATTCAAAGCAAAAAAAAATTGAAACAGAATAAGAATGCTTTCCACGGTACATTGTATAGTTAAACATGCAGTGCAGGGCAAGCATGGCCTAGAGGTACAAAGTGCATTTACTATTTCCGATAATTTAGGTTTTGTTTTTTTTTTTCATTTTATTGTTACTGTATAATTTCAGTGTTTCACCCTGTACAATGTGATGGCTGCCACAGGGAGTCATTTATGGGTTTCCGGTACAGATGTCAGCGCTGTCACAATTACCAGCTGTGCCAGGACTGTTTTTGGCGTGGACGCACCTCTGGCAACCATAGTCATGACCACCAGATGAAAGAATATCTCTCCTATGTAATTTTTTCATCCCAGTTCTTACATCTGTAAACATAAAATTTGAATTTCTTAAATGAATTTTGGTCATTTTTCACAATTAGAATTTCACTCTGGAAAAATGGAGTGAGCGAACGATCTGAAATTTTGAACACAAATTATCGGTCCAGACCTACATCAAATTGAACATTAATCTCGAAAACTTATTTCCAGTCTCATCATATTAAAAAACCTCAGTGCAATCCCATTAAAGTATTACTGACAAGAAGAGTATGTTCCTGAAAATTAAATGAAAAATTCTGTGTTCAGTTTTGACAAGTACAATAACTTGTATAATTTAGATAATTTACCAATGTTTCAGAAATCTCCGGCAAAGCAAATAGGTCATTCCATAAAGAAGTCATTCCACTGTGTTCCGAGTAAATCACTGGATGAGAAACCTCCGAGTTTCCCTGAACTACCTGAAAAAACAGTTGACCTGTCATATATAGTGTAAGTAGCATCTCAGAAAATTTATTCCACAATATGTAATTTATATGCCTACATGGCAAGGGAGGTAATTCATGTACAACTTTCAAAGATTTTTTTTTTAGTTTCTTTGCCTTAGATCTAAAATTATGAATAATTAGGATAGCTTTAGACAATAGATTATCTTTATTTACATGTATTTAGTCTTAGGGTCTTCACTTTTGTATTTATTTCCTAAAAAATATTCAAGTTTTTCTAGCATAGCACTTAAAAAAAGTTGATTTTGGAATTCATATTTTCACTTTTGTTTGCATTTTACAATATTCTGTACAGTCAACTATCGTTATCTCGACATCGCTTTTCTCGATATTTCGTTATCTCGATGAAATTTTTAAAGTCCCGATTTTCTTCCTTCTTTATCTATATTGGAAATATTTGTTTATCTTGATATTTCTATTTCGATATTTTCAGTATCTCGATGTAAAATTTCAGCCCCAACAGTTATTTTCACACTATTATCCTTTGTTTATCTCGACGAATAGTTTTCTTTCGTCTGTTCCCTTCAGACCTGTGAAAAACACAATCTAGACGATAATTGCTAATAGCGCGTGTCATAATGACGATTATGTTTGTAACAAGTTAAGCTGTTTTTATAAAAGTTAATCTATTTAGCGTGTTGATTGACTTATGTCCAAAATGAGTGAATTTTACATTCTTTTTTTAAATATTCGAACACTGTATCAATTCATTATGACTTTAAATTTAAATGAAATAGTGAAAGTATAGAAACGCTTTCGTTGCAATATTGTTTCACAACATCACCACCAAATCAATCAGCGGTCGAACAATCTCGAGAAAGACCCGATAAATAACCCGGGAGGATATCCGAATCAACCATATCCGATATCCGATTCACTATATTGGTGTAAAACTGAGTAAACCTCATTATGTGTTTTTATCACAGACACCCGTATGTCCGCTGGTAAACATCCGCCAATGTATCTTTGTTAAATATTGACTAGGCCTATGAAAACAAGACATAGGGATATTATAGTTTATTTGACATAAGGTATGCACATGTCTTTTGTAAAAATCAGTCTCGCTTTGTTCTTACCCTAATATGTTTATCTCGACATTTCGTTATCTCGATATCTTTTGGACAGTCCCAATGACTTCGAGATAACGAGAGTCGACTGTATTTAAATTTATTTATATAGAAGAGTTTGAACAATGTTTCTTTGATAACTGATGTATTGATATTTGGCTGATTTAAATTTCACAAAAATGAGATATAGTAGTTAAAGACCAATTTATATGGCAACTTTATTTTCCAAAATTGATACATTGCTGATCAGTGTAAGTTTTTGATAAAATTCAAACTTAATGCTCATGCATAGTATCTGGACAATAAATGTTCATTAATAATTCCTTTGAAAATTATTCCAGTATTAATTCTTTGGACATAAAATGAGAAGTTTTGTAAACTGTGAAATGTATTTACTTTACTTGCCACATTCTCCAGTTTACCATTACCTTCAATTTACAGTTATCACTTATATTATTTCTATACTTTTTTTTTTTAGAAATTCACAGTATTGTTTCTTACACATTAGAAGTTTGAACTTTTCATGCACTTTAAATAGGATTCATTAGATTTTACATTGCAGTTATAGGCTATGACATAGTGTACATATAATGTACATGTATATCTGCACTGTTACTATATGTTACCTTTTGTTACCAGTGATCTATCATAAACATGTATAATATATATCTTGACCATGATAATTTAACAGCAAATATTTCTGTGAATAAAAATGTTTTTATAAAAAAGTCATCTTTGTGGTTAAATGAAGTTAATTTTTAAATAGGATAAGACATATTTTATCATTTAAAGTATGAATTAAGTAAGCCTTTACAAAATATGCATAAACAATAAAAAAAAAAAAGATTCTTTTGAAAGAGAGAAAGGCAGTTTTATCATTTGGTTGTTATTTCTTTTTTACCTAACATAAAGATAAAGTAATACTTCACTGATATAAAAAAGGAGGTAAAAGAAATGTGCTTAAATACTGAATATGTAAAAAAAAAATTAGGCAAAGGAATTGTGTGTAAATACATTATACGAAAATGATCACTGTTGTAACATGGGTAAACAAAAACTGTCACTTTTTTACTTTATAATTTACTATTGTAGTACTGCTTTGTTTTTCCAGTCGAGAACCTTCGGATGAGTGCCTTCCATTGTTAGTCATGTATGTTCTCCTTTATAGCATGTTTTTGACCAAATCAACAATACCTCACTCTGTAAAAGTTCTTGTTTGTTTTGCTGGTATTGTACACAGAACAAAATGATACTGTTCATAAAGTAGATTAAAAAATGTTGTTATATTAGACTAGGATGATATAAAATCTACTCCTGTTCCATAAAGATATCTATAAAGGTAAATATGAAGTATAAATAAATATAGAAAATTGAGAACTTTGCAATGTTTGGTTGAGGTGTCTTTTACAGAATAAATTTAGTTCAGTGAGAAATAATACCTTCTATACAAGAGGCAGCATATATACTTTTATATGTGACCTGTTTGTCACTGCTAATGTTGTATCTTGGTGTCACCCACAAGGACTTTGGATTCTTTCATGTGAGGAAGCTATCCAGTTGGTGATTCTACTCCGGTGCCCGTTCATACCTGAAATAATGAACGGACGTGCACCTGAGGTCTTCCTCCACAGTAAAGCTGGAATGTCGCCATATGACCCATACTGTGTCAGTGTGACGTAAAACCTAATCAAACAAACAAACAAACATCTTGGTGTCACAGAGTGAGAAAAATAAGCTGCATATTCCTAGGAATACCTTTCTGCAATTTTTACAAACAGTTCAACTACCTGTCTTTCTACATATTTTCTGCCATATTTGTGAATAGTTCTATAAATGTGACATTAGTGATTAATAATTATAAGAGAGAAAAAAGGGTAAGGGCTTGCTAATTATAAAATATTTGTATAATTTGTTACTAAGGTCTTCTTCTTTCTATTGGTTCCTTACACGATAAGTTGTATTTGGTATTCCAGCATTGCTATGCAAGAACTTTTACAGGGTCAGTTAAACATAAAGAGTTGAAGAATGAAAGATATATAGTTTTGCCTAATAATAAAGGTGAAGAGCATGAGTTAGATGTAACATGAATGTTGGAAACTTTAACAGATATGTTTTGTATTGTTATATTAAAGTATCTTCTCAACTTTAATCGGGAACTGATTTCTTGTAATTGGCTTGTAGAGATTAATTGGTTATTATTTTCATCAATGATCTATCCCATCTGTTGAATATCAAGAATTTTACAAACAAATATCAATCAATGGGACTAATTGTTAGGAAATCTAGCAGGTATATTTTCCATAAGATTTAAGTTTTTGTCAATGTTACATTATACTTGTTGCCATGGTAACTTGTTGGAGACACACAGAATATGGCATTTATTTAAAGCAATATGACTCATATGAGTGGTAAATTGCCTTCGTTACACTATTTTTGTTACAAATATTCATATCCAGAATAATCCAAAGAAATGGTGGTGGTTGAGCGTGGAGGGTGGTGGGGAGAATTCATTTGTAAAAAGTACAATGCAGCCTCTTAAAATGTTGATTTGGACAGAGATTATTTGAGTATTGTTTTATTTTATAATTTGCATGTGTTTGTTAGATAATAAGTTTAATAGACCTGAAATGTTTTTTTTGTTTTTTTTAATAAGGTCTAACCATGTTAGAATATACTTGTATATTAGAGAATTAGTGTATTATATTTTGTCCTAAAGTTCAAATAGTTAATATGCTGTAGTTATTAGTGATATATATAAATGTTGTTTTGATATTTTAGTAATTGTAAATCTTCAGTTAATCAATTGCATGAAAGGTTAATCATACATTATTTTGATGGTTTATACTTCAATATTGGTTGTAAGTTTAACCATTTCACTGCCATAGGGATGGCTTATGCCGTCCCTGTTATTTTCGGCGTATTTGCCATATGGACGGCTTTAGCCGTTTCTATAATAATAATAGTAAAAGTAATAAATTAATAATAATAATAATAGTAATAGTAATAAAAATTAATAATAATAATAATAAAAATAATAATAAATATAAAGAAAATTATACCATCGACAATAATTATTATTATACTCACAGATTTGGAAACATATATAATTATTATAATACTAATAACAAATAATAATAATTATATTAATTAATAATATAGTAATTTTCTTAGGAAACCCTCTGGCAAATAGGTGATCAATAAAACAATAACCCTCTGGCAACGAAAGGGTTAACATCAAATAATACATCTGCTTCAGTTGTATGATCGGTTATTTTCACTATTAGATATGGTCATTGTAATAGAGCTGTATCTGTATTTTTGAAGTAAATAAGGTTATAAGGTTAATGATAGACTTGTATCAGTTTAAACTTTATTTATTCAATAGTTTCCTCGTGGCTGAGGGGTTGGTTGCCTAGCATAAGAATTGCAGCCAATGTTTATCCTTATGTGAATTTAAGAGGCCACTAAATGGGTTCAAATTTCTGGAGTGTATGCATCTTAGCTCCAGCAGGTGAGGTGGTTTTGACCCATGGTGTTGCTTTAAGTTTGTAACACCCAAGGTTATCCAAAATCATTTTTCCTGTTTTGGCACAGTATGACCTAAATTGTGTTGGTGTGCCGTAAAACAAAAAAAAACAAAAAACAACAACAAAAAATTAATATTGTACATATAGGAGTAAGTAAAGCACCAAGCACCAATCATATGACTACATTTGTAATTTTGTCATTTAATTCTATGCAATTCCATATGTTCAAGGGTGATTTTAATTTTCAATATTTTCTGCCTAAATTTCTATAAAGTTATGATATTTTTTCATAGGAAGATAATGTAGATGCATCAAAGTAAGGCTATATGTTTATATATTACCCTGAAATTACCTTTACTAGCCTTTCTGTTCATTAATATCTGGTTACCTGAATATATATACTAATTATACATAACAGTTTGTGACCTATTTGATTTTATGGTTGTCTTATGATAGCCATTGTTATTAATATTCATTAACACCCCAAAAAAATCTTTCAGTGTGTTCAAGCTAATAAAATTCCTGTTGTTCCTTTTATCTTGTTCGGAATGTTGTTAAAACAAGTTTAAATTGTACAGTTAACATGTTGAGTTTGACTATTTAAAGAATTAATGGGGCTATGCTTCAACTCACTTGTACATCAGTGTTGATGTCCGTATATCAGCAAAACACTTTGGACTTTTTAAATGCAATCTCATGTACATCTTATTATCTTACAAACCCAATTACAAGTAGAGAAACTGATAGCGAACAGCATGGATCCTGATCAGACTGCGCGAATGCGCAGCCTGGTCTGGATCCGTGCTGGTCGCAAACGCATTATGTTGGTTTTGTCATGACGCGGCTCATAATGTCAAGTGTTTGAAATCACAATTCCAAATCACTAACTGTAGCCTTGTGATTTACTAATTTAAAGCCCTTTGTAAATTTATTGGTTAAAGACATGCACGCATGATCAATTTACAAAACTATTGAAGGTATTGAATTTAAACTCCATGTTTGTCTTTAATATACTTATAGGTTTTACTTTCAATGCCTGTAACTGTTGAACTTAGAAAAACATACTTGGTTGACATCTTTCCCTTTTTGAATTCCTAGATTATCTAGACTCTTGTTTTATTATCCAGCAATGAGTAATGTTAAACATGGTATCCTTAGCTCCTGGCAGCGCTTGTTTTTTATAGTCAACAGTCAGATATATTTTTCAAGCTCAAGTTTATATATAGATGGAAGAGGTCATACAAAAAAGTATGAGATATTTTGTATAAAATAATGTAATTTGCTCTGTCGGTCTGGTTAATGATTAGTCTGTTGAGTACTAAGCAGATCTTTTCACAGACAGTGTTACAGCAGATTTAAACCTGTCAAAGAAAAACCTACTATAGTCTGTCCCATTAAAAATGGAAATGAACTTTTGCCTGATATGAATTAACAAAACGACGTTGAATAAAAAAATAAAACGTTTTTGTAAACTAAAAAAGTCACCCTCGAGATTTTTCAGGATTTTACTCTAAAGTGTCTACTTTTCATGTGAAAGCAAATTTTGATTTCTCTATGGTAAATCTCTGTTGTTTATTTTCCATAGCCATTGCCGAAGTACTCTTCATTTGAAGATGAACGGGAGAAAGCACGTGTCATGTTTCTAAAATATACATGAGGTTCTCGGGGTTGTTTCATGATTATTTTACAAAGCTGGATCTACAAGATGTAACAGTTTAGTTGCAATGCATGATGGAAAACTTTAAAAAATGAAAAATAAACAACAAGAAAACCGAGTCATATGGAGTTGATCTAGAAATTGCACTTAATTTTAAGCTGAATAGAATCCCTATGAACTTTATAAACGTCAAGACAAATTCGCATTCTGAAGATTCCTTCATTGCCAGTTTCTATCCAGTTCCGTAGATCCCATTTTTTACTTCAAAAATCCTGAATGGCATGACTCCTACACTTTTGATGATCCAGATTTTTTAAACTGGTAATCCGTCTCATTATTAAAACATTGTTCAATTTGTAGCTTTATCTGGGTTTAAGCAAATGAAATATGTAAATGAAACACATCATAATTCAGCATGTTCCAAATCCATAATTCAAGAACGGCCCATCAATTTTAGGTGTCAACATCACAATGCTTATGGATTCCTGGAAAAATAACTTTATTACGTCAACAACAATTTACGAAATATAATTATGACTTAACAAAAATGCCTCGCGCTTTTTATGGATGATTTCAGTTGCGGCATTGATAGGGGGCGGTTAGGCATATGTAACCTTTAAGCGTTGAGATAAATTTGTCTTGATGGCATTTAAAATAATTTTTGTATACCCAGATTTTGCAACTTAACCTTCAATTCATATATTAATAATATAAAACTTTTGATAACATTTAAAAATAATTTTAAACACACTTAATGACATGAATCTACAACAGTACAATATATACTTCTTTCATTAGTTACATATAACATTCGTTTTAATTTTATGTTTTTAAACTATTTTACATATTTATCAGAAATGATTCACCTACATATGATCTCGTTATTCAAGACTTCTGTAACTCCTACTCTTTTAGCTTCAAAATATACAATACGCGGTATTTTTTCTCCCGCGAAAAATATGCTAGATCTATTGTTTTTTCACTGAATATTTTCAAATTGTAGAAAGGCTAAAATTATTGAGAACGTCACTCGATGTTTCTCTTTGACTCGACCTACCCTTCAAATTAACAAAATAATTATATGTAACACTTTGAGTCTACAAATAAAACACTTATTGTCGCTTATTGAAACTTACTCTTAATAATATCAAATCACCGCCGGTATTTCTGGACATTTTGTTGAATTGTGAGACGGGGAGTTAAATCTGTATTTACGAGCTTAAAGTGTATAATATGCCTACGTTTGATTGCTTAAACTAGAAAACATAATATTATGTTCTTATAATTTACATTTTATTGAGAACGTCACTTGGTGTTTCTCTTTGACTCGACCTACCCTTCATATTAACAAAATAATTATATGTAACACTTTGAGTCTACAAATATTTTCAAATTGTAGAAAGGCTAAAATTATTGAGAACGTCACTCGATGTTTCTCTTTGACTCGACCTACCCTTCAAATTAACAAAATAATTATATGTAACACTTTGAGTCTACAAATAAAACACTTATTGTCGCTTATTGAAACTTACTCTTAATAATATCAAATCACCGCCGGTATTTCTGGACATTTTGTTGAATTGTGAGACGGGGAGTTAAATCTGTATTTACGAGCTTAAAGTGTATAATATGCCTACGTTTGATTGCTTAAACTAGAAAGCATAATATTATGTTCTTATAATTTACATTTTATTGAGAACGTCACTTGGTGTTTCTCTTTGACTCGACCTACCCTTCATATTAACAAAATAATTATATGTAACACTTTGAGTCTACAAATATTTTCAAATTTTAGGAAGGCTAAAATTATTGAGAACGTCACTCGATGTTTCTCTTTGACTCGACCTACCCTTCAAATTAACAAAATAATTATATGTAACACTTTGAGTCTACAAATAAAACACTTATTGTCGCTTATTGAAACTTACTCTTAATAATATCAAATCACCGCCGGTATTTCTGGACATTTTGTTGAATTGTGAGACGGGGAGTTAAATCTGTATTTACGAGCTTAAAGTGTATATGCCTACGTTTGATTGCTTAAACTAGAAAGCATAATATTATGTTCTTATAATTTACATTTTCCTCGAACGCAAGTCTGTGTTCTCTCGTTAGCGAGGGAGTTAGTTAAAGATGAGTTAAAGAAGATACTGTGGTAACAAGCAAACCAATGCTGAACATAAAGTGAATCAGTTTTCCTTTCTTTATATTTTTTAAAGATTTGCATGATAATGTCGTATTTGTTGGCAATTTCTTGTGAAAGTTGAAACCTACGGAAAGTTTTAGCGCAATCGTGATATCGCAGCCGAAATAAGAAGGGTACCATATTTTTTTATCCCTTCGAACCTGGTCAATTTATTTATTTTTGAATAGACGTGATACACACTTATGGACAGAATTCAGACAACTACAGAATTATGTAAATTAAACATTAATTAGCGAAGAACCATTTTTTATAGTCTTCTAGCTAGTGTTCCCGCTCCCCTACGACGCGTTGCGGTATTCAAGATACGCGCTTGATTGAAAAGCTATCTAATGTTCTTTTTCTCTTAAAAAATATAAAATACGACAGTATATCATGGTAATTAATTAAATCTTTGTGTGTTAGAATATATAAAGCTTACTGATATTTTCACTTCAAATGATTTTGATTATTTTAAATAATGGTTTGCTAGTAAAATTGCCTTTTTGACACCAACTTTGTTGTCATTTTCATTTTAATGATAACATTTAGCTATTCATCAGTAAGTAAATAATAATAATAATTTTTTATAATTACCGTGTACATTTCATGGTAATTGTGAGACAAACCCTAAATGACGTCTGTATGGGCGCCGCCATTTTGAAATGGACGTCACGTCAGGTTACAACGTAAGTCAACGGGAAAAATATAATTTTGACCATATTACTGACTTTTTGAAAAAAATGAAAAACATGCCTAGAGATATTGACGTCAGGGTTAACATGACATTAATTTAAATGATTTTACTATTATATTAAATAAAAAATGGAATGTTCAAATTTGATGGGACAGACTATAATAATATGTCTTTTTACAAAAATTAATTTTCTTTATAATTTCTATCATAACCTTACTTTGGGTGTTAAATCTCATGTCCCTTATCTTAAGATGCACTGGGTGAACTTGTTGTGTACTGGTCACATGGATAGTTCCTGTCAAGGTTTTCATATAACCAGAACTAAATAATTAACTTGTTCACATTTCTGATCAATGTTCTTGTCCTCTCCAGTCAATATGAGAAAACATACAAATGTTATTATAAATGATGTTTTCTTCTATAATATGGTGTGTCTGTTATTATAGGGAATACAGATATCTTTCGCCAGCTAACTTTGGTTCATATTGAAGGTATCCTGTGTAATATATTTGAATAAAAGACTAAGAATATTCCAAGTTGAACTTAAGACAGGATTGATGTTTCATGAATATGGAAATCTTTGTCTGTCTGACATGACAGAATGACAAGACACGACAAAACATTGTCTAACGTGCTTTATATCTAAGGTAGCTCACTCTATACAAGTCAGTTTAAAGACTAAGTAATTATAAATATATGACAGAAATTTGGTGTTGACACTTTATTTACTAAATGAAAGTTGAATTTATTTAATTAGATATTTTAAAAACCTAAGTCACTGTTTTAAAATCTTTCAAGGAAACTGTTAAAATTTGTTTTTTAAGATCCTTTATCTTAGTCTAGAGGCAATTAATTTAATTACAATTCATCAAAAGTGGCATTTTTGCAAAAACATGTCCAGATTTTCTCATTTCTTTCTCTTAAATTAGGTATTGTATTTTTTTTCTTTAGAAATGTAGAAAAGGAGTTAAGTTTTTATTAGTCTCAACAGCTGAACAGCTGATCCACATGTTGTCCTTAGGGATGATGGGAAAAGGATAGAAAATTAGTCATGAAAATCATTGAAAATATGGAATAGATTTTTATGGAACAGGCTGGCTAAAATTCTTTAAATGTTAGCAAATAATGTTCAAATCCTGAAAATAATTTAGTAATACAAATTAACAAAGATTAATCATTACATGAGTTTTCAATAAAATTGTATTAATATAAATATGCAACAGTAGGAACACATAATGTTTTAATAGGTTTGAATTCATATTTTAAAGGCTATTAAGCAGATATTTTGCAAAACAGGAGCTTGTGGTATTAAGTTGACCATACTTAGAAAAATGCCAAAAAATCAGTATGCTGTGGAATTGTAGCAAATTTTATTGAGGGTCCTAAGTTGGAAACAATTTTATACATTTCATAAGCCTTAGAATTACATGTAGTAGTACAGGACTGTATTTCTCATGTCATAACTCATGTAAAAAATGTGATTTAACAGAATTCATAAATATACCGTGAACTAAAAAAATTCAATGGTATAATTTTTCTTGAAATTATGAAAATATGTTGTTATTTAATACTGATATTAGAAATTTAATAAGCATTTTTTGTTTTGGTGATTTAAAAGCTCATATGTTATCTTGAGTTTCAATGGTTTTATTAATGTGTTATTATGTTGCTAAGGGATTTTGAAATTTATTAGGTAAATTACTTTTTTGTAGACATTGTATTATTTTGAATTTTAATGGTTTTGTATAGAAGTTTTATTATGTTGCTAAGTGATGAAAAAAAAAATTCTTGGCTATTAGACAGGTGCCAGCTTACTGTTAAGGTATTAAATCCATTAATGACTTCTATTTGGCCAATTTTGTCAGATTTGCTAACTAATATTTATCCTTTACTAGTACATATATAATTATATTTTAAGCAGTGTGCCTCCAGTTGGTGCTAATTTTCATGAAAATTTTGAAAATCTTTTTAAAAGAACATTTAAACTTATTTTCATGAAAAGTCTGAAAATCTATTTAAAAGTAAATTATTGTGTAAAGAGAACAAAAAAAAAGATTAATTTACACATTGCAAATGAAACTTGCATTCCACATAAATTACCAAAATGAGGTCAAAATATGTAAAAATAGGCCTTACTAGTCATTTAAGTCACACAGCAGAAATATAGTAATAAATACAGCAAAATCAGATTCATCATAATATTATAATAATATTATATTGTCATATTGATGTTATATATTTTTACTTTATTTCATATTCATTTTAATATTTTCTCATTGGAAGCAAATAATTCTTTACATTTTGTGTATGATTATTGTTTTACCTCAGTTTTTATTTTATATGCAATAAGCTATCTGGCATATATCTATAGATTAATATTTATGATATATTAATTGATATATTTCTGACTTCAGACCGGCAACACCTAGCACTGTACGGAATGGTTTCCGTGATGTATCCCCAGATCTCAGCTCCATAGGCAGTAGTCCACTGATTCACAGAAGGTTTGTTTATACCCTACTGGCTTTTATCGCCAGTTTTCCAACATCTGCTGATGTATAGTGTTCTGTTTTAAAGAAATAAAAGGCTTTGTCATTACTAAACTCCAAAGCTGTATGGTTTTCTTAATATGGCCATGTTTTTTTTGTGGTGTTTGATTTAAATCACACACACACTGTAAAGTTTAAATGGTGACTTTCCAGTTTTACTGGTGGAGGAAGACTTGAGGTACCCTTTAATGTTTGAACAGGCACCTGAGTAGAACCATAAACATTATTTAAGCTAGCTGGATGGCTTCCTCATATGAAATAAACTGAAGTCCCTGACAGGATTTAAACCCATTTTGGTGATAGGCAAGTGATTTGAAGACAACAACTGTAACCAGTAGGCAACATATGCCCAACAAGAATAAATGTAATGGTCCAGGGCTTACTGCAAAAGACTTGTTTTTTGAAATTATATGATGGGTGAATGTCAGCAGTTGGGTTGGTGGATGGGCTTTGGTCATAGACAATTTCTTGTGGGAGTAACTTCTTTTACATTTCTCAATAGATTTCAACCAGACTTTCACAGTTACATTGTCACAAAGTGCCCTGGTGCATATTAGAAACTGAACCTGAAATTGACCATGACCTTTATTTGAACTTGGCCTTCAATGTCAAATTATCAAATTTTACAAAAATTGGTTATATAACTTTGTTAATTATAGGCAATTTTTTTTTACATTCTTGGAAAAAAGAACACTTATGACCTAATTGAAATGTTGATTAATGTAAACTGACCTTGACCTTAAAATCACTTTGATCATCAATGCCAAATTATTTAATTTCAAATTATGTTAATGTGTTTATATATATTTCAGTCCTGGAAAACAGAGCATTGGGATCAGATCACAGTCTACAGATGATGAACACAGACTAATAGCTAGATATGCTGCCCGGCTTGCAGCGGACGTCAAAAATGCTGTAAGTTTATAATATTATGATATTTTACAATGCTAGCTGTGATAGTAACTTGCCTATGATGCCAATATAAAACCAATGGCCATAAAATTTTACCAAACTCCATGCTGATACATGTTCTTCAAACTATGTACTTTTGTTGAAATATTCCATGAAATGTATTTGAATTTTTTTATGAAGAAGAGGAAGAAGAAGAAATTTTTTGATTAACTGATACATTTACATGTACATAAGTGTTGATGTAGCCCAGTCAGCTTGTGTTATTCGGTTCATGCTTAATTATGAGACGAAAGACTCAACTTCTGTAGATATCTAAGATATTTATACCATATATTTACAAAGAAATGATATAAACATAACTACATAACTAATTTATTGTTAGTAATGGTTTTTGAAATGATTGAAATATATTTGGACAATGATAGTAATAACAGTGCTAAAATGATCAACTTGTTTAAGTAATTGTATGTACAAGTTTTTACCTCAGAAAATTTATTCAGATATGACTGAAAGCCTCAAAAAGGTAATTTGATACCATGTATACCTTTCGTTAGCTCGACTATACGAAGTATATGGAGAGCTGTCCTACTCGTCCCGGCGTCGGCGTCCGCGTCCAGATTTTAGATTAAAGTTTTGGTGCAGTAAAATATTTTTCACTATAACTTTGTCATTTCTTAAGGTATCAACTTCAAACTTCAAATATATGTTCCTTATCATCAACCACATCATATGTGACAAGGTTCATAACTCTAGCACCAATATTTTCAGATTTATCTCCCCTTTAACTTAGAATTTTCCTTAAAAAATACTATTTTTTACTGTTACTTCCTTATTTCTTAAGGGATCAACCTCATACTTCAAATATATGTACCTTATCATCATCCCCATCTTATGTGACAAGGTTCATAACTCTAGCACCAATAGTTTCAGATTTATCTCCCCTTGAACTTAGAATTTTCCTCAAAAAGTACTATTTCTTACTGTTTCTTCTTTATTTCTTAAGGGATCAACCTCATACTTCAAATGTATTTACGTTATCATCATCCCCATCTTATGTGACAAGGTTCATAACTCTAGCACCAATATTCTCAGATTTATCTCCCTTTGAACTTAGAATTTTCCATAAAAGATATTTTTTTTACTGTTATTTATTTATTTCTAAAGGGATCAACTTCATACTTCAAATATGTTTACGTTATCATCATCCACATCTTATGTGACAAGGTTCATAACTCTAGCACCAATATTGCAAGAATTATCTCCCCATAAACTTAGATATTTTTACTAGAAAAATGTTATTTTTTATTATAACTTTTTTATTTTTAAAGGTATCTACCTCAAATTTCAAATACTTATTCCTTATCAACAATTACATTTTATGTGACATTGTTCATAACTCTTGATGCAATATTTACAGATTTATTTCTCTTTGTACTTAGGACTTTCTTTAAGAAATATAATAACTTCTTTTCTTTTTAAGGTATCTACTTCAAACTTCAAATATATATTTCTTAACATTACACAAATGTTGTGTGACAAGGTCCATAACTCTAGCATGACTATTTCTAGAATTATCCCCCTTGATCTTGGAATTTATGTTAACAAATATTATTTTTTTACTATAACTTAATACATAATTATACATAATTGATTTTTCTTTCATAGTTTTGTCCTCCTTACTGTGTCCAGTATTTTATTAGTCGAGCTTCGCTGTCTCCTGTGACAGCTCTTGTTTTTTAATCCTAACTAATTTTTCACTCTACTGACAGCAAGCACTTTAAATGCCAATTATTACAATACAGGCTTCCCTACAGTCATAATTTCTTTATTGTTGCCATATTGATTTGTTTGGGGGGAAGTTTTCATTAAGTTATGTTTACCTAACTTGTACACATTGTAAAGTAATTTTGTTCACAGACATACTTGTTCAAGAAAGCGAATTAAAGAACTTGTTGAGAGTCATTGGAAATGAAATAAATTGATTAGAGTGGAAGTTTTTCTGTATATATTTTCTGTTTTTATTAACTTCACGTATTGTTATATCTACAATGTCAAGCATTGTGGGGAAACTGTAGAAATCAGTATTAATGGTTTTTCACAATGACAGAATTGTTAAAAATGTAATAAAACGTGTCTACTAACTTTAATTTCAGACAAATCTTAAAGGTTAGCTGAGGATTCAGATATTGTAGCATTTTCTTGATATTTCTTAATGATTATAGGACAAATAGATCAAAAGCAAACAATTTCAAATATCAATACATGTTTCGCTTTATTAGTTTTGTCAGGAAAATTATAGGAAAATTTACCTCTTTGTTAGAATTATATCATAAATTAAAAAACTAAAAAGATTTTGAGGGAAAATTTAACAGAAGGTAGGAATATAAAACAATTGCCTTATAGGCGAATATAGGTCTAATTTTGGTCACTAAAATGTCTAAAACATTGCAAATGGTGATGCAGTACTTAATGTTGTTCTGTTGTAATCAACAGAATCACTGTATCATTTACATCAAGCCTGTATGAGTTATGTGACAAAAGGCACCTTTTACTTCCAATTACTGTATCATATATTGCAAGCTTATACAATTCAACTGTATCATTTTCTGCGATCACAGGAAGTAGATTGGTATTACTACTTACAGTGATCACAGGTACAGGTAAAAGAATGAATAGTGTAGATTTTGTAGTGATAAATGATCAATGAAAACAACAATGATATGTGTGATATTTTTGGGAAAAAAAACAGTAAAATAAAGCTTGTTCAATCACTTGTTTATTAATTTTAGAGCTAAAATTTCACCACGTTAAAAAATGTCCATTTATTCTCATATTTCAAAAGCCAGGATGAGAAATTTATTTATTGATGCCTATTGAGACAGGTACAGAATGGTGTAGGTTTACACTGTGACAGATGAGATTACTATACCATACCATATCAGAGGGATGCGGGCAGTATAATTCCTCTCTCATTTATCTGCAATCATAATCTCTTTAAGTGTTATCTATAAATTGTTTAAAATGGGGCAAAAATCTTGCAGAATTCTAGTGCACTGCAATTTATGATTTCACACATGCTAGCATTTTGAAGTTTTGCATTAACTATGATGCAGGAAGTCAGTTGTTAAAATCTTGATCATGTGTCATTGTTTTATCTAGGAATTTAGATTTTAGAGAGCTTTAACTTGATGAAATAAATCTGTTTTATATGCTTATATAAAGAGGTTTGTTTGATTGATGTAAACAGAGAATATTGTTTGTATTTATGATGTTTTGAGATCATAACTAGCAGTCTATCATGACTATGGTTTAAGTCTGTGGGAGGACAAGGTCAATAGAAACTGAAGAGGTGTGGTAAGAAGAGGGATTTCATATTTAGAAAGGAGGGCAAGAAAGGTTTGGGGGATAGAAATATCTCGAATATAGTTATAATAGTGTTTTGTTGATTGAAGGCAATGAGGTAACCATAATGCTTAAGAGTCTATTGTTCATCATACACTGGGTCAGCAATGGTCTTCTGTGAAAGTTATAATCATATTTGCTTCATTTACTGTGGAACATCTTTGTGTACAAGAATATATTGCAATTAGCTGACATTTTACCAAATGATAAATATTATTGGCTCATATTAATGCTCCAGAGCCTTTAATAATTTCTCTTTTTTCAACAAAAATAGATTGGTAGACTTACACTGTAACATCTAATATAAATGGTCCTCTGACATGTTTGCTTTGATAAAAATTATATTTGCCTATATTTGCCTACCTTAAATTTGGCTGATTGAGTGTAAAAATTAAAATATTATTAAAACACCTTTTTCATGAATTACCAATGCTTAGTCTGTAACTGTTTATTATCATAAAGTAAACAAAGGTAGTATGTCACCAATTCTTTTGAGTTTATTTGAAGCAGAAAAAGGTTGCTGTTTTCCGCCATCCTGAGTATTCACCTGACCAAATTGACCCTTGTTCTCTTTGCAAAGCTAAAAATTACCTTTCATGTAAAAAAAACTTGATCAATGCAAACACCTTGGTTTTGCAATAATCCATTGTCCTCACAATATACAAATACTTTCAAAGATTGGATCTGGAGACTGTAACTTTGTATATCTGTTGGACTCATGAACACTTTGATGGAACAAAAAATTAAATTCAGTAAAACCTTAGATGAAGAATGAATTTTACATGCTAAGATACATTCATATTTAAACACTCCTCATTTCCATCATATCACGTTATATAATGTGCCCAAGTTAAGACAGTTTTAGAAATTGTTCCAGATTTTTTCAATATTTTAGCTCCAATCAAAATAATATCTGGATAGTTTTGTAACTTAATTGTCAGATAGCTGCAGTTATTAAATCAGATCTGTATAATCTGGCATTTTATGAATGACACAGAGCAGTGCGCTAAAAATCGAAGAAACTTCGGATTTTAGAATTTTCTTAAGATTCTGTAGAATCTAATAAGAGTAATAATATCTCCTAGTTTTTCTGTTAAATTAAAAAATACTTTTGGAAAGCAATTTCACAATGTATTTTTAGCTCACCTGTCACAAAGTGACAGGGTGAGCTTTTGTGATCGCTTTTCGTCCGGCGTCCGTCCGTCGTCCGTCCGTCCGTCCGTAAACTTTTGCTTTAAATGACATCTCCTCATAAACCACTGAGCCAATTTCATCCAAACTTCACAGGAATGTTCCTTTGGTAGTCACCTTTAAAAATTGTTTGAAGAATTTAATTCCATGCAGAACTCTGGTTGCCATGGCAACCAAAAGAAAAAACTTTAAATATCTTCTTTTAAAAAACCATAAGAGCTAGAGCTTAGATATTTGGCATGAAACATCTTCTAGTGAGTGTCTACCAAGTTTGTTCAAATAAAAGCCCTGGGGTCAAAATTGGCCCCTCCCCTGGGGGTCATTGATTTTCCCTATATGCATATAGTAAAAACTTAAAAAATCTTCTTTTAAAGAACCGTAAGAGCTAAAGCTTAGATATTTGGCATGAA